CTTCAAAGGAGGCGTTCAACTACACCCGTTCCTCCTCCTCCTCCTCCTCCTCCTCCTCCTCCTCCTCCTCCTCTTTCCCCCCTGATCTTCCCTGCTCCCTCCTCTCCCACCATCTCTTCTTCTGCCTTTCGTCCTCCGACAGCCTTCTGAATCATTCCTCTTTCTCTTCCTCTTCCTGCTTGCTTCTTTCTTCTGGCACTTCGTCCCTCTCAAATTTCATTCCATCAACTTTCCGCTTTCCCCATTACCTTCCAACCTCCTTATCCTCTTTCTCCCTCCTCCTCTCCTCCCTCCTCTCCTCCCTCCTCTCCTCCCTCCTCTCCTCCCTCCTCCCCTCTTGTCCCCCCCCTTTCCTCTCGTGCTGCCCGCGTTCATCCTCACATTCATATTGTTGTCAACAAGGACGAGGCAGCGAATGTCAAACTTTCTTCCCTTGTACAGCAGCGGCCGCTCAATGTACTTCTGCACGATCACCTGCCGTACGCCTTCTGTCAGAGTCTGTGGCAATAGGGAGGGAGGAGGGAGGAGGGAGGAGGGAAGAGGGAGGAGGGAGGAGGAGGGAAGAAGGAAACGAGGAAGAATATTGAGGGAGGGAAGGACGAGGAAGGAGGGAGCAACGAGGGTTCAGGACAACTGGAAGGAAGGCACAAGAGGAGCAGGAAGGGGTGGAGGAGGAGGAGGCGGAGGAGGAAGAGATCAGTTACCTGGCTGCCTACTTGCTTCTTCTTCAGGTGGGTGTCGACATCGCTGAAGCCTCGGAAGACTCGGATTCCATTCCCTCTGTTGTTGTTGGTTGGTTTCACCTAGAGCTCCAACTTCAACTTCCCCCCGTTCACTGCTCTCTCTTCTCTCCATTCCCCTCCTCCTCCCTTCCCCTTTTCTCTCCCCCCTCTTCTCTCCTCCTCCTTGAAGTCTCACAATCCAAATGTTTCTTTCGCCTGCTGTGTTGGTGTTTGAGATGGCATCTCCCCGGGACATCTGAAATTCATCGGTCACCAAATCTCCTCCTCAACTTTCTCCTCTCTCCTCCTCTCTCCTCCTCTCTGCTCTCTCCTCCTCTCTGCTCTCTCCTCCTCTCTGCTCTCTCCTCCTCTCTGCTCTCTGCTCTCTGCTCTCTCCTCCTCTCTGCTCTCTCCTCCTCTATCCTCTGTCCTCCCTCCTCATTCACCTTGGAGTGACTCGACTTGCTCGGAGACTTCATGCTTGCCTTCGACCCCGTCTTGGAGGAAGAAGCAGTCCTGGACGCTGACTCGCTGCCTGGCTCATCGGTACTCGCAGCTAGACAGAAGAAGTGAGGAGGAGTCGGGGGAGTAGCTGTGGCACACAGGGAGAGGAGGAGGGGAAGGAGTGAGATGAGGGAAACAAGTGAGAGAAGAGGAGGAGAGTGGGAATGGAGGAGGAGGAGGAGGAGGAGATCTCGTCTGTTCAGACCTGAGAGGCTGTCGGGATGGTTTTCACCACTCCCAGCCCCATCCTTTCCTGCCTTGTCATCTGCTCGGCATGAAATCACCCAGTTCTCCTCCAGGAGGCGACTCGACTCACTTCCTTTCGAGATCTTCGCCGAGCTTTGAGAGGCTCCTTGCCCCTTCAGCTTGCTATCCAGCTGCTTGCACACCTGCGACCCCCGTCACCCGTCTGCTTCCTCGATGCTGCTACAACCTTGCAGAACTCGGCATACTCCGGACATGCTTCTCCCACTGATATCACAAACTGCAAACACGTCAGTTGCAAGGTAACAACATCCCTCGACCTCACAGTCGGCGGAGCAATCTCATGCACGTTAATTTTCCCTGCGCAACAACACCGTGAGCACGAATCGAGCGGTCAAAGCCTGGACTCACTTCTCACAGTATGATTTCAGGTTGAAATACAGCTCGTTCTTCCTCCCGATGCACGTCAGTCCGTCAAGATGGTTCAGGTATTGTTTGTTTCCCATCCTCCTCACCCACTCTGCGACTGACCGCTGTCGCACCTGCAACACATTCATCATCCTGACCACGTGACTAGCAAGCGCTTGCCTGCAGCCACTTCAAATTGAGCTCAGGGTCGTCCTCCTTTCCCAGCTCCCACCATGGTCGCCTCTCAAGAGTCTTTCGCACTAGCTCGCTGTTGTTGCCAGGGCCCACAAAGAACGTGAACTTCGACTCCGAGCCGGGTGAGTTTTCTTGTTTGATGGCTTCTTTCAGCGGGACGTCGTGCACCATGTCGTTGACGACAGGAAGGAAGGCAGGTCCGAGCCCAGGGTTAGCTTCTCTCGCTCTTGCCTTGTTCCTACCTGCAGAACGGCGAGAGAGTGGTCATGGCATTGGAAACAACTCAAACGCTCCAACGTCTTGTTAATCAAGTCCTTTTCATCCTCACTATCTTTTGACTAGAGTCTGACATGTTGTTGATGATGATATTTCTCTGGTTCTTCTCAACACGTCAGACATTCGAAATAATCGCGATGTTCTCACTTCCTGATACTGAAATCTCAGTTGTTGACCTTAATGCTTATACTCTTCCTCACCATCGCCATCACTAACACCACCACATGGTCACGATTATGTCATTCTGATCAGTTTGATCATGTTATCACCACCACCACCACCACCATCGTTTTCCCTTCTTCCTGCCAACCCCTGCATTTCGCTTGCACCATCTCTCTATCTTGCTGGTCAACGGCCGATGTGTAACCGAAAGAAACGGTTACTCAGTGACTGGCACTACGGCAGGTGCCCGGCACTGCACCCGGGCCGTAGCACACTGCGGCGGCACGGACTGTATCCCGGAGTCCGGGCCGGCGACGGCGGCGGATGTTAACTGAATCAGTCTAGCCATTTAGATCGAAACTTGAAGGCTCGAACGGCGAGAGTGAACTTTTTCATTTAGTATATCAAAATATCGCAATTCAAGGTATGATCGAGCGCAGTGCAGACAGTTGTTCTTTCCTCCCATCACAACAGAGAGACAACATCATTCTTGTCGTCACAGCCTCTGAAGTTATCAGCTGAATCTATCAGGTGAAAGCATTCCGTTCACTGGACAATGCACGATCCTGACGCACTTCGAGCAGACTCCCAAGGAAACTGTTGACCGTTCCTGTCCTCAAGGATGACCTTCCTTCCGTCCTTGGTGAGAATCTTTCCGTCCTCAGGGTTCACGAGGACGAGGAGGGGAATACCGTTCACTCCGATCTGACCAGCAATCTGATCCTTCAACGACCTCTGGGCGAAAGGCAGGGCGAGCCATGGCATCTGCGAGTAGTACTCCTTGAACTGCGCTTCTGACTGATCGGAAGATAGGAACACAATCTCAAACTCCTTTCCCTGCGACTTCATGGTGCGATAGGTCTCCGCCAGCATCGGGGTGAAGGATCGGCATGGAGGGCACCAGTGCGCTGAGAAGTACAGCCCGACTACCTTGTTCGACCTCAAGCTACTGACAGCCACTTCCTTGCCCTGAGCGTTGATCAATGTAGCGTTTCCAAAATACTTGTCCATAATACTTGTCCTGTCACAGGAAACGTTATATTATGGAAAGAAGGCAAACGAGCTGTAGTTTTCTGCAACTAGATTTGTTCGTGCTTTTGTAGTGCAGGAATTCCTTCACTGCTTGCGATGATTGCGAGAAAGCAGAACATCACCACAGATACAGCAGACACAAAGGGGAGAAGGCAAGGAAAAAGTAGGATCTTTGCAGGAATCGAGGTGAGCTGCACACAGTAAAAGAAGAGCCAAGGAGGGTGAGAAGAGTGAAGATGTGGTTGTGAATGGCAGAACAACATGACAGGAGTGATCATGGGGAAGAAAGGAGGGTTGTGGAAGGCAGGGAGTCAAGGAGGGACAAACGGAAAAAAGGGTGGGAAAGAGAACAGTTTGGGGCATCAAGGTAACCGACGAAAAAAGATAGCAGATATGAGTGGAGAGGCGAAGAAAGGCGAGGAGAAAGAAGAAGAGAGGAGAGAGGAGAGAGGAGAGAGGAGAGAGGAGAGAGGAGAGAGGAGAGAGGAGAGAGTTGATGTGAGGCGACAGAGAAGGGGAGAGAGAAGGAGAGGTGCATTTTAGTACACATCGAGCGCATTTTATCAGGCAGTACGACTGGGAGTTTATGGAAGGGGTGTACACTCACAAAACAATATTGAACGCTCCGATGGGAATTACACATAAATTATTGCAAAATGTATTGAATATACAATATTTGCCATGGCTAGTTTACAGGATTTTATAGTAAGGAGACACCTTCTAGAACCCTTATCCCTTTGTCGCTATGGAGCGGCAACTTCGTTGTTGTTATTACTGCTGCTGCTGACCGATCCTAAACCTCTTCACATCGTCGTCGTCGTCGTCATCGTCATCATCATCAGCAGCAGCAGCAGCAGCAGCATCTCGTAAACTCTCTATCGTCCTCTTCTTATATTTCCTTGTCTCGTGTTCTGTTGATGTTGTTCCTTCTCCATTCCCCATCGCCATCTAGCTCACGGCCTTGATGAACAATGCCGTGTCGCCGCACGCTTCATGTAGACATGTTCATGGCGTTTGTTGAAATAATATCAATTGAAAGAGAGTATAAGCATTAAGAAGCTCTTTCATTTCCAATAGATCCCTCCCGAACTCTCCAAAAGAGCCTTTAGAGTGTTCAATACCTCCTGCGAACATGCTCAATTGCACGCTTCGATTTCTGTGTGACAGCAAGGACTACCTGCTTTACGCGCATGGATCCTTCACCTTCCTCCTCTAGAAATGCGACGATCAATGCATGGATCTGGATAGCGACCAACATAAGTATACAGGAGGAGCAGGCTGCTGTTGAGTACCGTTTCTCGGGCTCCCCCATCGGCCAGCATGTCTCCATCGGCGATTTTGGTAAGAGCGCGGACAGCTTCCAACTATGAAAGATGTCAGTAAAGATCTCATGTGAAGATGTCAGGAAAGACATCATGGAAAGACATCATGCAATAGATATCATGAAATAGATCTTCCGTAAAGATATCATGGGACAGATGTCATGCAAAAAAATCATGGAAAAAATGTCGTGTCAAGATATCATGGAATAGATGTCATGCAAAGACAACGGAGCACAGCTGAAAATAATCGCCGTACCCGAACATCAAGAACCGCGTCATCCAGAACTCTGCAAAGAAGCAACTTCCACGCAGTTTGCGATCCTGGCAAGCTATTCGTCAACGGGTAGAACCAGCCAGACACAATCAAAACCTCGAGGACAAATTTTTGCGACCAATTCAATCGCTTCGCGAGTTAGCGCCTGTGTGACCGGGGCGGTAAGAGGCAATGACCATGGAAGGACTTGAAACCTGAGGGTCGCCATGTGGCTTGAAATATTCCTCACCCCTCAGATCCTGGGGCGAAGCGTCAGCCTCGTAGCTTCTATGTTGAAAGCGGAACGACCTTTTTGCGAAGAATATCAAAAGCAATCTCGATCGCAGTTTGATCGCTCTTGATGGCCTGCATACACCAGTCAAGTCCAGCTGCCCTGTGATGAAACCAAGGTTTCACCTTAGTCGCAAGACATCTCAATGATTGCTTTCGAATATCAAAACACTCATCCATCTTGGCTGAGCGTGCAAGCACGGTTACCTATCAATCCGTCAGGAACCTTTTGTGGACGACCGACCTGCTCTTACCACTTTCGGATCTCCCACCAATCCGAGCTTCGAGATGACTAAACAAGCAGCATTCCGAACAGATATTGATTCCTGATCCGCTTTCAAGTCATCATACCATCTCAACACAGGTTAAATTGGCTCATACTCGTTTGTCCAGCAGAGCCCCACACGCGGCCTCGATTGCTTTTCTATGTCCGACAGGAGCTTTCACGAACAAGGTAGCCAGCAGCTGCCTGGAACAACGGAACATCACATGAAATTCACATAGCATCACATCAGAGATATGACATTAATGACATCCAAATGCTCCCTGGAAAACTAGCGGCCGGGTCAATGTACTCACCTCTTTTTAAATGCATCTCGGCAGCCTCGCAGTTCCATCAGTATGATGTCCACCTCATCCAGCTTGCATACACAAGTCAAGAGCAACTTCGATGAGCAGGCGAACATACCAGATCATTCATTCCTCTTCCGTCGCATTCGACCGCTCTCTTGAAGGAGGACGTGGGCATCGCTCGCATGGTCGCCCCGTCCTCCTCAGGTTTCCCAGGATCGTTCTTGACGCCCCTGAGCGAATACAAACGAGTACTCCCCTTAGCTGCTCGACTTGCTAGTGCCCTGTTGCCTTGCAGTCCTTCCACCGGGAACGAGCCCTCCAAGGATGGAGGAGAGAGAGCACGTTGCCGTCGCGCCGACTGCTTGTCTGTTGCAAGTGAACTGAAAGCTGCTTCTCCGAATCTTTTCCCCCAAGTTCCTTCGTCGGCATTGATTTGCATGGACAGTACATTCCTTATCGATCGAGCGGATGCAATTGCAGCACTTGACTTCTTTCCTCTCTCCTGCTCGCCCCCTCGCAGCGTTAGCAACCGTGCCCCTCGTTCCGGATGACCTTCAGCTGCCTCCCCCCGTTGACAGTCTTTGCAGCAACCAATAATCGAGATCTCTTTAGCTTGATCCACCTTCCTCCCTCCCTGCAACTTGACTCTCTCACATTGCACCCCTCGACTGCCGTCGCAGCTGCAACCCTCCGCCCCTCCTGTTCGCTGAGTCGGCGTTCTATAGGACCTGATTCTGTTCAGACAATCAACCATGACATGCAGATTGTTCGCTGTCTTCACGCTTGCGAGGTTCACTTCCATGTCGCATGACGCTACCAGCAGCGACGCCATCGCCACCATGGTCATGGCGCAAAAATCCTTCCTGCCCATGGCGCGTTGCACTACCCGGTAAACCACTACCCAATTTATGGTACCACCCACCTTGGCTGGATGGACCCATGACATTCGTCCATATACCCCTTCTTTCAAGCTAATTTTCTATCCAATAACACCCCTTAATCAACACCCCTACCCCCAATTATACCTTCATCCCCACCCCTTGAACCTCTTTCATTTAACACCCTGGTCCCCATTCCAATCCGAGGACCCCAGTAGCTCACGGGGATCCTGACTACCCACCCACCAATACAGAGAGTAATTGTAGTGATATAACCGGTACCTTTATTTTTTTGTTTACCCTACCCCCACAAACAATTGTTGCGATCCTCAGCCGTTACAGACGTTTCAACTCGTTATGGAACACCGTCAGACGTTTTTTATCGTTACAGGAATCAAACGGTCGAAGAGTATTCGGCGACCTTCTGAAATGCCGAGCAGGCCAGGGCGGGGGCGGTCAACCCCGAGGACATGCTCTGCTCTCGCTACCAGCCATCTCGCATCAGCCTCCTCCTCGTCTTGCTACCCTTCCCCTTCCTCTCCTCTCCCTGGTGCTCATCCCAAGCAATCTGCCACTCGTGGCTTCAAGGGGTTCGGATGCTCGGGGGTGCTCTTGGTCGCGATCCTGGCGACGATGCCGCAGGAGAGCTCCTCCTTCATGATCTCTGCTCCGGCTCCAAACTCAAACAACCTGGGCATGTGGAGATCGTACAGCATGTTGAAGCAGGCAGGAACCACCTCACGTGGGCTCACGCGGATTCGAGGAGGGTCCATGAGCGCGTCGGAGAGAGTTCTCTCTTGGATCTTTCCCAAGGCCAGCCCTCCTGCCTACGTGGTTCCCAAGTACGTGCCTCCTCTGGTGACTACCTCCCTCACCCTTCTCTACGGTATCTTAGAAGGGATCCCGGCATTGTTCGCGGCCTCGCTGTTGGTGTCCCTGCTGGGCTTCTATAGGGTGACATGGTTTTTCAGCCTGGGCTACGGTCTTTCAATGGCCTTCATGTCCTGCCTCTCCCTCTTCTTCTTCTCCGTCATTCAGGGCGCGTCCATCCCCTTGGTTGCCATGCTGCACGCCAGCCTGGTCATCGCATGGGGAGTTCGGCTGGCTGCGTTTCTTGCATGGCGAGAGTTCAAGGCCTGGCCAGAGTCCAAGAGCCGATACGTCGAGACGAACAGACGGACTGGACTGTCCAAAAAGATCTCCACCTGGGTGTTCGTTGCGATCTTCGACTCGCTTCTCTTTGCTCCCTGCCTCTTCCACATGAAGACTCCGTCGAAGCTCGAGGTCCTGTCGTGGTTCGGAGTTGTCCTGCAGTTCGTGGGGCTGCAGGTAGAGTCCTTGGCTGACCAGCAGAAGAGTCTGAGCAAGCGCGAGCGTCCCGGTCAGTTCTGTCAGGAAGGCCTCTACAGGTTCTCTCGGCATGTCAACTACCTCGGCGAGATTCTGTTTTGGTCCGGCAGCTACATCGCGAGCCTTGGGAGCCTTAGGAATCCCTTGCAGCTCCTGACAGCCTCAGCTGGGTTCTTGGCGATCTTGGGCGTCATGGTGGGAGCCACCAACAACCTTGACAGGAAGCAGGTGACTAGCTGTTGAGCACACGTCGACTGCTGCTGACGTGGTTGACAACCAGTTTGACAAATACAACGGATCCCCCGAGTACCAGAAGTACATCAAGGAGACGCCGAAGCTGATCCCCTTCACCAGGTGCCTGTGGTGCGACAGTCTTGTGCCATCGGCCTGACCCTCGTGACGTGTCAGGTGTCAAACTCTCGACGAGCTCAAGTCGGATGTACGTCCCTCGACGTCCGACTCGCTCCCGTGACCCGGTCATGGCAGGCGGACAAGGCCCGGAAGAAAGACGAGGCGGACTCGAAGCCGACCACGGTGATGACAAACTCTTCCTGGTAGAGCCCAGCTGACGCCCTGCTAGCCCATCGAGAGCAACTACTCCAAGAGGAAGCAGCCCTGGGACGTGTAGTGGGCGAGCTGGAGGGTCGACGAGCCTGCCAAGTGTGAGTGATAAGGTAGATTGATGGAAGGGGGTGATAACAATCAGGTTGTAGTGGTAGAAGTGAAGGACGAGGGTCAGAGGCGGGAGGAGGATGGATAATTCATTAAAATTATTTACATGCAAGATCTCTCCTCCTCCTCCTTCCCCTCCTCCTCCTGCTCCTCGATCTCCTGCTCCTTTTCTTCTGCTTCTGCTCCTCCCCCCACTCTTCCTCGTCCTCCTGCTCCCCTGTATCCTCTCCTACAATCCGAACATCCTCTTGAGCTGTGTGAGCTCTCGCTCAACCGCCCGGTCGAGCCCGCGGGTCGAGCTGGACCTCTGCTGGGCCCGTGTGGAGCCGTAGTCCGCACGTTTGACCGGCGCCACGTGGCTCCTTGACCTGCAAAGTCCATGAGACAGCTCAGCTCTAGCTGGGGTCTGCCAGTACCTCATCGCGCTGGAGGGCCTCCTGTGCTCGTGGACCTCCAGGTCGTCGCTCTCGGACGGAGTGCTCTTCCTCCAGGAGGAAGGGGACGCGCTTCTTCTCCCGCTCATCCTCCTCAGTCCCTCGCTCCTCGCCGGCGCCTCCTTCCCCTCCCGCGCCCCCCGGGCTCGCGCCGCCTTCATTCGCTGCATCTCCTCCTCCCCGCTCTCCGATGATGTGTCCTGCGCCTCCCATGCTCTCCTCGTCTCTTCTGCTGCCGCCGCTGCTGCCTCACCTCCTCCTCCTCTGGCCTGGGTCTGCCGGCTCCCAGCTGGATTCTTTGCCTTCCACTCTTCCACCTCCTTCCTCGTCGTCGCCATCTGCTCCTGCAGACGCTGCACTGAGCCCTCCAGCTCACTGCCAGCAGGTCAGGGGACGACGACGAGCCTCTCAGCGTCTCACCTGCGCTTGTCCTCCCCCCTCGCCGTCGCCTCGCACTTGCTCGAGATCTCCTGCTGGCCAGTCAGCCACCGCAAACTCATCTCGACCCACCTTCAGTGCTGCCCTGGTGGAGTCCAGCTGAACTCTGATGTCCTGGAGGTCAACAACGACCGGAGCTCCGCCCGCCTCCTCCAGCTTCTCCACCCTCGTTGACAAGGCCTGTAGCATCGTCTCGACCTGCTCAGAGATTAGGAGACAAGAATCAGGAGGAGGAGGAGGAGGAGGAGGAGCAGGAGGAAGAGAGAGGAGAGAGTGAAGAGGTAACCGAGAGAGAAAGGGAGGGGGGGGGGGGGTAAGGATCCTTTTGCAGCTCCTGCTCACCTTCCTTGCGCTCTTGCTCGCCGCGTCCACCTGACCAAGGGTACCCAAAAAAAAAGGGGGGGGGGGGGGGGGGAAAAATTAAAAAGGTAAGGAAAAAAAAAGGGGGGAAAAAAAGAAAAAAAAAAAAAAGTAACGGAAAAAAAAGGGGGGGGGGGGGGGAAAAAACCCTTTTTTTTTTTTTCTCCCCCTCCCACGATTTTCTCTTTTTGTGTCCCCCGCTTTTTTTTTCTGGAGCTTCCCGGGGTTTGAAAACCCAATTTTCAAGGGTGTGGGTTTCTTCTCTTTTTTTTCCTTTAAAAAAAAAAATTCAAATTTCCCCCCTTTTCCCCCCCCCTTGACCCCCCCCCCATTTAAAGGCCCCTTCTTCCCCCCGGGCTTTTTTTTCCACCCCGCTCGCGCGGAACCCCCCCCCGTTAAAGAATCCCTCCTTTCCCTTTTTTCCCATTTTAAATTCCCCCCCCCCCCGGGGGGATTTTCTCTCCAAATGTTCTCCCCCCCCCGGGGGGGGAG